TATAGCTTGTATCAGTATGAAAGTATACAGCCAACTCTAAATACCACCAATGTTGAAATACCAGAACCCAAAGCTTTATGCATAAAACAGATATATATATTAAAAAAAAATGTTTTTAGGCAGTAAACAATGCATGTTTTCACAATAGAAAAGAAGTGCATGAATTGGTCATTTTGAGCACCTTTAAAAACTCTGGCTAGTTTACAGTATCTCAGACTTAAAGATCTGTCACCAAAGACCTAAAAGTTAGACCTCATTCAGGTGAAAATGTTGCTATCTGTGTCTCAACAGGAGCATAATGCGAGCGCTGCTGGAAGCTGTTCTCTACCTGCACTCCCTAAACATTGTTCACCGGGATCTGAAACCTGAGAACATCCTCCTTGACGATCAAGGCCACATTAAACTCTCTGACTTTGGGTTCTCTGTGCAGCTGCAGCCCGGAGAGAAGCTCAGAGGTACGACTGGAGATCCTATCAGCAGTTTAAAAGCAATACAGACATGTTCTCAAACGGACTGTTTTGTGTTCGGATGTTGATCAGAGCTCTGCGGAACACCAGGCTATTTAGCCCCGGAAATACTGAAATGTTCCATGGATGAGATGCACCCAGGCTATGGAAAGGAGGTGGACCTGTAAGTCTCCTTTCCTCTGAGATGCAAAGTTTACCTCAGCATATAAATTGAAGTATATAAACCTGTATATCTTCCTAATCTCTGCTCATGTTACTGATTTTCTTAATAAGCTGGGCTTGCGGGGTCATCCTTTTCACGCTACTGGCTGGCTCTCCTCCCTTCTGGCACCGCAAACAGATGCTAATGCTGAGGATGATCATGGAGGGCCGCTATCAATTCAGCTCCCCAGAGTGGGACGACAGATCTGACACTGTGAAAGACCTGGTGAGCTCATATTCCTGTCAGATAAATGCATTCCTTCAATAAAAACTCAGTGGGATTATTAAATGTAGTTGTATTTTTCCTCATATCTGTATTAATGTGTTCTTGAATAATTGTTCTCAGATATCCAGGCTGCTGGTGGTAGATCCTGCCTCCAGGCTTACTGCAGAACAAGCCTTAGCACATCCCTTCTTCAGGCTGTATCAGAAGGAGGACGTCCGTCTCTTTAGCCCAAGAAAGACATTCAGGGTGAGTTGTTTTTGTTTGTTTTTTTAGCCAAACAAAGATGTTCAAATAGGAAGAAACTACATCTTGTGCACGAATGCAGAGCAAATGCAGAGTGAAAGCTGCAGCTTCGATGGTTCAGCTTATTACTAAAGGATCTGAACTGAAGTAGAAAACATCTGAAATTGGTGGAAGGAGACCATTTATTTATCCTAATGTGTTAAAAGTGGATTAAGAGCTGAAGAATCAGGAAAAACATTAGAAAGGGGACAGAAAGTATCATCATTTTGCAGGTTCTGGATTTAAATAGGCTCCTGACCTCACGTTCGGCTTGCCGCACAAATTGTCGATGCAGATGTGGTGTCTTTTTTATTCTAGAGACAGTTACTGAAAAATTGAAATCGTCATCAAATGGAAAACATTACAACTCAAAGTGTTGTTCTTCAAATAAAGGAGTAAATATGAACAGCTATGTTTCAATAAATGCAGACAGAAAAATAACAGAATCACAAAATGTTTTTGGGTTTTTAAAAGGATCAGTAGTAGAACCTTCGAGCGGAATATTTTCAGTCCACGCTGTGAAATGATTGGACACCAGCGATTGAGAGTTAAACCCATCGATGAAGTTTTTCTAGACTGCAGCATTTCTGTGAAACATCCAGTTTAAAACCCATACACACCAAAAGCTTAGTTTAAAAGAGTAATTTACTAATCTGAGGTCTGTATGAGCCAAATCAGGTCAAAAGCATTAGTTTTTTTTTATAGACTAAGCTGGTACCCTACGTTGCCATGACAACCGGTGCTGTCCCTGCTGGGCCTGAGTAAGCATTTTTAGAACGTCCCTCTGCTCTCATCTCCAACCGTTCCTTTAAAATCAAACCTCTAACTTCTTTTCCTAAGAGTTTTTGATCATTTTTATTTGAGCAGCAGACATTTATTACAGAGTTCAGTGAATAGCTGGCTAGATATTTTCTATTACGCCCTAAAGGAGTAGAGGATAAACATAAGGTTTATATAACAGAGTTAGATTTTCAATTTCATTTCTTTCACAGAAATTAAACAATTCATATTTAAATCAACCACAGCAATGTGGACATATTTAAGATGCATTCAATGCTCAAAATAACTTTCCAGGATTTGATCTATAAAAGGTTGCAGATGTTAAACACAGGTTTACATAAATATGCCCATTTATGAATGTATGGTTGTGTCTGAGTGGGTCAGGTGAATGTCCTAATGATCCAGAAAAGAAACAATAATTACAGTAGAACAGCCGCAAAGATGAGACCGGATGAAATATTCTAGGTTTCATATGTGTCATCCGGTTCCATTACCAGTTTAGTTATTATTGCCTGTTTTAATTTTAAATCAGTTCATTGTTCCTGTATGTGCATATTTACAGTATGACCGTTAGTATTTTCTAATATCAATTAAATTAGTTGGAAAAAATATATTTATATGTATGTGTGTCCAGCAATGTGTGTGTTTATTTATACCCATGGCATATAAATGAACTTTAATGTGGATGAAGTGATGATTCTGATGCATTTTTCCAGCATTCAACGACTTAGTGCTTTATTCTGTTAGTTTGGTATATGAATGTGTTTCAATCTGAGAGAGCTGCAGATGATATTGGGTTATAAATAGGGTTGCAACTAACAATTATTTTGCGATTAATCTGTCGATTATTTTTTCAGTTAATCGATTAATAATCAGATATCGAACGGTTTGAAAGAAGATTTTTTATCTAGTGAAACCTGGTCAAACTAAAATTTTTCCACTTGTGGAGTACTGCATAGATCATACTGACAGATTTTTTTAATCTTAAATGCAAAATATTGATCTATATTTTTACAGTTTTCTTATAATTGCTGCTCTAAGTGAGTCACTCTGTCATCTAAAGGCATGTTTTACAGTCTCTATACTCCAGTTAACGATTAATCCATTATTTCAATAATCAATTAATCTGATTAATTGTTTCAACCCTATTTATACTTAAATATCCGTCTATAAATGTCTGAAAGTGTCGTATGTGTTTAGCTATGATGTCCTGACAAGCATAACTTTTTGATATTTGAGTAATAAAATGGCACAAATACGGCAGAAGCTGTTCCAGGTCCAATAACCTCTGGAGGGAAGCAGAGCAGAGACAGACGGGTAAATCCGCTGCCCCATATATGCAGCTAATGTTGTATCAGCACCAGCTGATACATGCATGGGTTCTCCAATTTATTAGTGCACTCAGAGGCCACGCCTTGAGATCATGTGAAACACATGGATTGTCACTCTCTCCGCTTCCCAATAATTATTAATGTTTAATTTGGTATGTTTTTTTTACTTATTGTTAAAATTGTGTTACATTTGTTTCCCTTGTCATTTTAATCATTGAAATTAAGGAAAAATGAAACATCAGATTCAAAAATAATGTCACTTTTCTAAAGATAAAGAGCCAAGTGATGGTTTTCACTATAATATATTAAAAAATACCATAAAAATGACATAAGTTTTAGAAATATGTTTTTAGATTGACTTTTTTTGTCATTTGCTTGGAAAGGTGTGTTTTATTTTTTTTATAAATAGAATATCCTATAGAGCAAAATCCAAAATTAGTCCGTCTGATTTCAGAAACTTTCATGCTTTGTCCTTATTTTAAAAAAACAAAAAAATCAAATAAACTGTTATAGATATGTCTATTGTGGATATTTAACTAATATCAGGTTTGTTTTGTTTAAATTACACGTAGGATTTGAGGCTTTTTAGGTTTTTTATTTAACTGAGCTCAATGTATTTGAAAGGTTGCAGAGCCCTGAGTTAGACTGATGTCAGTCGGTACTGCCGTCTTCCTTCTGTACATCTCTAATCTTCAGAATATGGCATTGTTTTCACACAGTAATCTGTAGCTTCCTTGTCTTGATTTGTACAGGTGTTGATAGTGAGCGTGCTGGCCTGTATCAGGATGTACAGCCGGTACCGCAGGGCCCGGCCTCTCACCCGGGAGGTGCTTGCCAGAGACCCGTACTCCCTGCGCGGCGTTCGCAAACTCATAGACGGCTGCGCCTTCCGTATCTACGGCCACTGGGTGAAGAAGGGAGAGCAGCAGAACCGGGCAGCTCTGTTCCAGAACACAGCTAAGATCGTGCTGCTGGGCCTGGAGGACTTTGAGACGTAAAAATGATTCCACCTAATTCCCGAGCCTGTTTATTTTTATTTTATTTTATTTTATTTAACCATGTGCATGTGCTGTCACATCGTGTCAGTATTCGTCCAGCTGTGTTACTGTTTAATTCTATGTGCAATTCAGGGATCAGGAGATATCGTGTGTCTCAAAGCACACTGAGGCACGTTGCAGATTCAAGATGTGCTGATATTCCTTATCTGTGTTGATTGGAAACTTTTTTTTTTTTTTTTGTGAGGTCAACATGTTTGCAACGCACTTTGTAGTGGAGGACATATTGCACAATAATCTGATAAATCTTCTGAGTGAAGAGGGATATTTAGACTTTTAACTGCTAATCATTTATTGTAATGATGCATTTCCAAGCCCTGCACGAGTAAATTGGAAATAAGCATTGAGATTAGTTATTTTTATAGACACATATTGTTTTAATGCTCAAATGAAAGTCTCTTCCAGAGTATAACGGTACTGTAGGATGTGTGTGAGAACATTCGATGTAATGGGAGTGCATAGCTGTCGTTGTAATGCATGCATTCCTCAAGAAAATAACCACTTCCACTGACTGTAAAAACTAGGAGCAGCATTTCCGACTCACTTCCTTCTTTGCTCTGATAATTAACATTTCCATATCAAGTGCCTGCTTGAGAAATGTACGGCAGTTTAAGTGCAGAATGAATCACACTGTAAGTGCATACAGATGTTTTACTGACAATAAAACAGATGTTTAAATTGTCTTATTTAACATTATAGCCGGTCATATTTTTGTCTTTTTTTTTTTCTTTTTTTTTTGTGGATGGATTTGGGACGATTAATTCTGCTGTTGAGCTTGTCCTGTTGTCTGAACCTTTGCTGCATCTGCTGCCTGATCTCTCCAAGGCTGCTGGTCCGTGGACCTGGAAGGAAGGAAAAACACGACCCCATGTTCACGCACACATTTATAATCGCCTCTACTAAAGTTTAGCTGAAGGCTTTTAGATAACTTAATCTTTTATTGGATCAGCTTTAAGATCTATTTAACTGGAGGAGGTTTTGATTTATACTTGATTAAGATGGACCAGAGTTTGTAGAAACATCTAAGTGGTGAACAGAAGTCATGCTTCCATGCAGAATAGATCAGAATCAGAAATACTTTAATAATCCCAGAGGGAAATTACTTTTGTTACACGCTCCAGTAACAGTTTTATATAATATATACACACATCCAACTATACAATATAATAAAGATTTAAAAAAAAAATTAAGAATAAAAAGAGATAAAATATATACACATATAGCTCTTCTGTATATATATCTGTACGTATATCTATGCATATGTAAAAACTAAATCCAAATAAAGTGAAAATCCAAGTAAAGTGATAAATCCAAGTAAAGTGATATGTGGCGTGCAAAAATAGTGCATAACCATGACACCATGCGACCAAAGCTAAAAGCTTACTCTAAAGGAACTTTAACAGAGAGACCCTTAAGACTCCATGCACACCCTGACAGCTTGTTTAGGCAACACAAGAAAAACAAACTTTTCTTTGCTATGATCACAAAAGTAAATGTAGAGTTTGCTTAACACTGCTAGGAATTTATTTTAAACTATACAATATTTCTGATTTTTTTTTTCTAGAAGGTTGGTTTAAATGGGGGTGAATATGCACTATGCTCACTGTTAGGTGATGCTGTAGGTTTGTTTCTCTTCACATCCAGAACTATAATGTAGGGGCTTTCATTTTTTTTCTCTGGGATGCCCAGATTGATGAAGGGACAGAGGAAGGACCCCATGTCAAACAAAAGCAATATTATAGATATTATGCCTTATTAGATAAAACATAGTAAATGTATTATATAAGCCTTTCAAGGGGAGAGAGGAGGGAGAGTTGGGACAAAGATTTTTATGACACCCCCAAACCCCATTGCAGTACCTCCAGAATCCACTAGGAGGATTGCAGCACTCTATAGATATGAAAAACTCTGCCAATACATTGAAAACTGGTCATTATTGGGTTGTTAAGTGAGACAGTGATCCATAAAATGGAGATAGTTTCTCTTCTATGACCATTTGTTCTGTGGACTGAGCTCAAAAGCAGAGAGAACCCGGGACCCTGAATGATCTAGAGCAGGGCTCTGCAACCTGTGGCTCTTTAGACCCTTCAACAAGGGCTCTCAATCACTCTGGTTAAAAATAATTAAGAGACAGATAATTTTTTTAAATAGATAACAGATGCATGTTTTTATCATTTTAGCTAAACATAACACAAATATATTTAGGGTGGGAAAATTTTTGTTTTTAAAATAATTGTCCGCAAATTTCAGCAAACCATTGAAAATGTATTCTCTTTTCACCTTTTTCTGTCCATCTTAAAACCCAACATTTGAAAAAGCATGGTGGATATCTAAATCTCCTGTGGAGATTTATTTATTTAATAAATATAAATTATACCTTTTCTTCTTTTCTTAAGTTAAATATGCCTCTTTGAATTGTAAAGATTATAGACCTTAATCTAGAGCATTTTTTCTCAGACTTTTGGTTAAAAAAAATCTCTCTCCCTACATGTTCCAGCATTCTGCAATAATAACAGCCATCCAGTAGAAACAGAGGTTTGCAAAGCAATTACAGTAGAGCGTCAATGGCTAAAAGTTGAATTCATTATAAGGCTTTGTTTCATGTAGCCTTAAAGGCATAATAATAAACTGCAAAAATATTCTCTAGAGTTCCTTTCAGTCAAACGTGTGTTGATTTTCTTCTTCCTCATCACATCGCCTGTAATATTCTGTTACGCTGATGAAGATTCTCAGTCATCCAGGTCATAGTCATTCCGTAAAAGTTCAAAAAATATCCACTGGACTTGGTTTCCAAGATTTGAAGACGTTTCACCACCTCTCCAGGAAGCTTTCCCGCTTCAAATGTCTGGATCCGCAATATTATGTTACATAATAATTGCCTTAAAGGAACGTTCCACCTATCTATGTTGCTCTTGGATTATTATTTTTTAGAAACTTTATGTTTGTTGGTGCAGAGCAAACCTTTGCCATCATTTTACCTCCAGCTTGAGTCCAGGTGTAGGAGAGAAACGGTTATCTGGCGCAGAGGAATCCTTTATAAAAGATGATTCCATGTCTGTAGTCCCAGAATAAATCAGAGAAAGATCAAGTGTGACCTGTCAAAAACAAAGGGCATTTAAAAAAAACAACAACAACGAATGAATATTGACTCATACTTATTTCCTACATATTGTCAGATAAGAACCCCAAGAACAGTTTTTTCAAAAGAAAATGCAAAATTGAACCGTGGAGGTTTTTTTCAATTGCCCCTTCTCAAATGAAACCTCTTTTAAAAAGTGTAAACACTACACTATTTGGATAAAAGACTGCTGCCATTTCCACTACTGTTATATAGTTTCGTATATCAGGTGCTGTTTGGGTCAGAAAGTAACAAACATCCAGAGTCCACAATCTTTAGCTGGAGTTTTCAATTAGATCCATTAGGGCAACCATCCCTGTTAAGTTTCGTTGCACTCAAAAAAACTACTTGTTTTTTGCTTTCATTTCTTTTTTATCATGTTCCTCCCTGCTAGGAATCTGGCTTGGGTTTGTTTATCTGGTTGCCAAGCGGATAGGATCATAAGGGAACATCAAGCCTTCCAACGTTTTGAGCCACAAATAAATGTTTAATTATAATGATGAAAGTTTGTCAAAGAGTCATTTTTCTATCTTCTTTCTGGTCTTTAAAAATCTGTAATGTTTCAGACAAATAGTTATATTAATTTAATTGTATTCTGAATATTCACAACAACGAAGTTTTGACTAAATGTTACTAAGAGTGGACAATAATTCAATATCATAAATAAATTGCAATGTACTTTTATCCAATAATTTTCCTTTTGCCATTCAATGGTATTATAGTTTTATGTGTTTTGTTCTTTTAAGCAAACATTTGCTAAATTTTAAAGTAAAGGAGATTTATAAATAAAGGTCATAACTTTCTTCAGGATTCTGTTGTGGGCATTCTTAGCAGCCTTTTTGAGACTTTTATTTTGTTTATATTAAAATAAATTTTATCTAAAATATATCCTCATATAAGTTTTGCCCTAAATATTCCCAATAAAATTTTTAAATGTTAAAATTAGATTTTTCAGTTTATTTGGCTTTTATAACGCAATCTAATTATGATGTTAAATGGTGTTTTGGTTCCACTTCTTCCTACTAAAACAGCTCTGAGCCACTGAAACATGGAGACCAACGGGCTGGTTCCCATCCCTGGAAAGAACCCAACTGCATTTCAACCCTGTCTTGTTCAACTGTTCCAGAGTGCAACTCCAAGGCTTTACATGCAATAAAGCTAAGATAGCTGATTCTAAGTGATAAAGTAGATTCATGTGGATAAAAACAGGACTGACCTACTGTTTTTCAGCAGAGTATAGCCAAAATTATTCGATTCGAAAATACTTTTTTAATCCCACAGATAAATAAATTAGCACGCTTCGTCTGCCATTTTCTTCCTGCGGTGCTTCCTGGCACATTTTGCTCTTCAGGCAAGTGATGGATACACACCAGATCCTCTGCCTCAAAGGAAACCTGGTTCATTAGAGCAGCTCTCGTTCTTCCATTGCTCCACCGTTCATTTCTGATGGGCATGTGTGCATTGTCCTAAAGAGAACTCAGCATGGAAATCTTGTTTGCACAGAAAACTGAGATGCAGTGTTTTCTGCAACAATTTTAATCTTATCTGACTTGCGCAGCAGTAATTAATCTGTTGAATCGGTTCACATCATTTCTACTTCTTTAGTAATACTGTAGACGTGAGTCCAGGAACAACTGCAGTTCTGAGGCTCTGACCCAATCCTCATCAGATCGCCATGCTTGTCCATTTTTTCTCCTTATAAAGCATTAATTTTGAGGACAAATCCTCAATAACTGCATAATGTTTTCTGTTCACTACAGGGTGCAACAATGAGAAAATAAGCCAGATCACATGTCTGTGTTAATAATTATACTTCTCTTTTTTAAAGTGGGCTGCAATGTCAGTCAAATTCATACAGTTATACTAATGTACCAGTAAAACACTTTATCATATTTTCACTCTATATTTTAAACAATATTAGTCATTGTTGTAAGGGCACCTTTTATAATTTAAGTGGGAATACAGATTTTCAACATAATGCAATAAAACAAAAAATTGAAAACTGAAAACTAGACACAAAAAAAAAACTTCAGTAACGAATGAGAATCTAATTGCGTCAATATTGCTTTATCCTTTTTATCTAGGTCATTTTCTATTTCTATTTGATGATCAGCTAAGCTGCGAATTTATTAGAAGGGTTTCGAAGATTTCACTCCAGATTGAGGGGAAATCAACACGCATTTACTGATAGAGGGCTTCAGGCGTAGGAGGGTAAACCAAAAGAGGTTTTTTTCATTTAAGTCCTGGAGTCGAGGGTCATGTGTGCCGACATGTCTTGTGTACCGTTCAATAATTAATACCTTTGGTGTGAATATGTACTTGTAGAGTTTGTAGTCTTTCATGTAGTGGTCCTGGATGTATTTTAAAACACAATTCGCCTCCTCGAAGCTGAACAGGTTGATGCTGAAAGGAGGTCTCTTAGATGGTGGAGACGAGAACAGCAGAAGAGAAGCTTATGATGAGATGTTAAAGTTAAGCTGAGACTAATATAGAAGTATTTGTGATACAAACCGTGATTGAGTGACACAGCAGAAGATCATGGCAGTATTTGAGACATTCCCTAAAGTTATTGAGCGGAGTTTCTGCAAGTTGAAGGAAATCTGATAAAAACAGCTATTTCTTTCACATTAAACCCAATTTAGACATTAATCTCATTGTATATTTAATCATTAATATATATAATATATATAATAGTAATAGTGATACAAGTAGCTGAACTTTGCTCACCAGTGTTGGCTTCATGGATGGACTTGATGATGGACAGAAGTGTAGATGTTTGCTCTTTATTTAAGTTATGTTCTCTGCAAAAATTAACCGTTTGCACATATAGTTCCAGCAGGACCTCTTTTTTTGGTTCGGGGAGGCCAGCACACAACAGGCTGCACAGGATTCTGTCACAGATGAGAGGTGATATGAATTTAAAAAATTTAAAATCATACATCATATATCAGATATCATGTTCAGCTGTAAGCAGACACACCTTTCCAGATCAGGAACGGATTGCATTTGGTCAATCAGCTCCATGTCATGGTAACTTATGTCTGCCCTAGGAAGAGAAAAAAAACATTTAGACCTACATTAAGTGAGGACCTGAGTTAATAAACAAGCACAAAACGCAGATGATCTCACCATAGCAACAACCTGGCTTCCAGGTGGTAAGGTACCTATGGAGAAAAAAAACTCTGCTTTTGACATGAGGCTAGACAAAAATATAACTACATGTTGGTCTTTTTTTCTTTTCATGTGCAGCCCTGCCTCAACCAATAACCTAAAGGTTTTTTCTATAATTTTTGGAGGAAAAATCAAAGTTATGTTCCAGTGAAGCAAATATTGACTACAGACATACATTTTAAACAGAACACAAGTACAGTTAAAGTGATAAAACAGATACCAGCTGACATCGTTTGAACATTACCTTAATAAAGGACTCCATTTTATTTTTTGAAAACCAGCAGAAATAGAAACTGAGCGAACTGAAGGAGTTTGGAGTCTAACGGTTTCTATCTAAAAACGAAACTTGAAACTGACGTTTAAGATATCACGAAGGAATAACGGACATTGGTGCATTTGAAATATCGCGACAAAAAATTCTTGAACAGACAAAACAGATGCCGCGCATTAGTTTGTTTGGTTCTGTGGTAACCTAGCAACATCACTACGCTTCCGGTTTCCAGTTTTACTTTATTAAAATAGTTCCCCCAAATTAGCATGGTTTCGGACAATTGTGAACAAATAAAACTGTATTTTATATTACAAAAAACATAAATCAATAAAAAACAAAAAATCACTCAACGTCAGCAGGATTTTATTTGTCATTTCGTTTACACAAGTGTAAAACAAAAAGACATTTCGTTTGGAACAGCTCTCTAGACAATTTCATCTTTTTGAAAAATAGTTTAAAAAAAAAAAAAAAATATATATATATATATATATATATATATATATATATATATATATATATATATATATATATATATATATATATATATATATATATATATATATATATATATATATATATATATATATATATATATATATATGAACAAACTATGGTGCATTTTTGTTTTATTTGAATGTAAATATAATTTGTATTATTTAATTAGAACATATCTTAGAAGCTCTATCTGTTGTGTCTCTTTTATTAAAATCATCTCTCTGTTGTTTCTCACTAAATGTGTTCATTATAGCCAGGCATTAGAAGGAAAAACTCAAGAACGGCTAACACTCCTGTATCTAACTATCAAATCTATGCACCTATCCTGGAAAGCTGCAATGTATGAAAATACCATTTATAAAGAGTTAGAAAATTTGCAACATTGTCCTGAAATAAGTTTTGCCTTAAAAATGCATAATTGAAAACTGGTCCTAAACATGGTCCTTTTTCAAAATCTACTTCACAGATGTTCTCTATAGGGATATAACAGAATTTTATTTTATATTTAAATAAGCTCAATATTTTTGTCGCTCATTTCAGGGAGTGAAACTTTGATATCATATAAATTGATTACATATACAGCAAATTATTGTTTGTTATTGTTTGTGGTTTAAAAAATTTTGGCTTACAGGGAACGAAGCCTTGAAATTCAATGTCTCACAAAATTTGAAATTGTAAAAAAAAATCTTAAAGCTTCTGGTTTTTACATTTCTTTTCACTTGTTTATATTTTTAAAGGGTTTCCTCTAAGGATGCCATTTTTGGTTTTCTAGAGGAACATAAAGTAGGACCCAGAATACAAGCAAGACAGACAGTGGAATACTTAAAATGTGTTTATTCAAACAAAGATGGAAGGGATCTGCAGTGGCGGCTGCAGTGGCTAGGACGTCTGAGTTCAGGCCCAGAGAACGAGGATGATTCCAGCCGATCCAATTGAACAGACCCAGCAGATGCTTCCAGAGAGTTCCAGACTCGGGAGCCTAGAAGGATACAGTGCTGACAGGAGATCAGATCCGAGCTGACCAAGGAAGGCAGGATAATCCTCAGGGCGAAGTCAAGAGGCAGATCCAAGTTCACTCCACAAGAAGAATCAAGTCTGAAGATAGGCAGGCAAACAGATCAGACAGGAGCAGGCAGGCTGACAAGTCCAAATACAGACGGGTCAAGATGATACAATCAAAAATCTATAGAAATGCTATAGAAATCAACACCAAAGGCTCAAGAATGACCTGGCACTAATGGCTGGAACCAAGGAGTTTGAATAGAAGCAGGAGCAGTTGGACCAGATGAGCAGGGATGAGGAACAGGGCAGAGACAGATAGGGTAATGATATTAGCATTAAACCAGCCATCAGTGCCAAAATCATGACAAGAAGTGCTTTAAATTGGCATTTGCATAATATATATGCAGTTTGATCAGTTGAATCACAAACTTTTTACTCTGGCTACATAATAACAAATTAAGATCCATGATTCTTAGAAAGTTGAGCGATATAGGAAAAGTTTTTTTAAGAAAAGACAAAAGGGATAAAAAGAGTTAAAATGTTTAAGATTTTTGGTTCCTTATTTAAACGTGATCATAGGGTGGAGCAGCAAATGGATAATATTTTTTTTTCTTTTGCACTGCAAAAACAACCTAGAAATAAGCAAAAAAGTCTTAAATTAACTGTATTTACTCTTAATTTGAGCAGGTAAATAAGATTGTTTGCCAATGGAATGAGTATTTTTACTCTTAGAATAAGATAATTAGATAACATGTACTTGAAATAAGACAATGCAATTGTTTTGTCTTATTTTAAGTATAAATTGTCTCATTTCATTGGGAAAATGTCTCACTTACCTCCTCAGTTAAAAAAAAGGCACTTATTTTATTTTTAAAAATGACTTATTTAGATATACATTTTTATGCAGTGTGGTAGTTAAAATAACAATATACCTGAGCTGAAAGACCCACTGCCCTACTTTACCTTTGATTCAGAGATATGGATTATCGTTATTTTTTTGTTTTTGTTTCGGGGAAGCTGGTCCGAGTTGTTGGGAAGATTGATAGAGCTAAACCACAGTCCAGGAACAAAACCTTTTTAGAAACTACAGAAGACCTGAAACCTGGAACTTCCAGGTCACTCACCCAAAAACACAGAAATATGACCCAGTTTCTGCTTCGTTTTCTGAGGTCTTCAAAGAAAATCATGTCTGGTTGAAAACGTCTTCTCAGTGCATTTCAGTTCTCCTGTTTAATTAATTATTGTGACTTGAACACAAAGACATAGGTTCACCATTTCAAATTAACTTCATGTACATAATTCCTAAAATTACCATTCTTAATCTCGCTTCTTACTCATTATATATGGAAAACACCACTTGATTCTTCTAATTAAGTAAGAAAAATGCAGAAACATATATATTTTTTCTTTTTGTTTTTATTACTATTTATGTAATTTAAATTTTTTATTTCCCTGCAAACATTTTTATCATGCAGAAGATCACTTCTAAACATCGTTATCAGTCTGGTTGCAAAATGCTTCAAATCATTGCTTCAAATCATCCAGACACATGATATCAGGGCAGTTACCACCACAAATGGGCGTTATTTAAAAAATAAAAAAAACTTCTATCTGATACAGCAGAGCTGCTACGCGTTCGATCATTTATATCTCATCTTGCGCAATGTGAAGATTTCCATCTAGCATGAAGCTGCAGCTCTGGGGCAGGTTTTTCACTCAGCACAGCTTCTCACAGCCTGAAAGACCGGCAGATAGGGGACAGGAGTCATTCAGGTTTCAACCTATAAAAATAGGTTCCACTTTTACCCTGCGGTGAAGCCAAATGATCAGAATGGAGGAGATATTTTTGATAGGCAAACCCCAAATAGCTAAAACAACTTGACATGAGCAAGCTTCTCTCAGCCTTAAGAATCTATCTTAATATTGAACTGTTGTTTTGTTGTCTTTTCACTGCTGCAGGAGGTTTAAATGTTCTCCAGATTGGAGGAAACAAAACAATGATTAACAGTGGAATGAAGTTTTTCTTTTTATACTATCCTGACAGGCTATTTGAGTGAATAAAGTAACTTTCTTGTGCACAATATTGGGTTAAAAGCTGCTGGGCTGCAGACTGATGTTGTATAGGGTGAGAAGCTCCAAATCTACTCAATCGGAAAGTTAAAGGAAGCCGTGGGCCTGGGTTTTCAGCGCTTATCTTAGAATCACAGCACCCAGCCCTCATTCAGTTAATCTACTGTTGGTGCACTGGGTGTTGCACAACCAGCTTTTATGTTCATGCAGCAAAGCAGATGGGTTAGGGGCTGAAAGTAACCAGAAAAGGGGGCATCACCACTAATCAAGTTTTAGAAGATACATGGCGTACAGACTCTTCTATGAATTTTTAATCTTTTTTTTAGGCCTACTACCTTACATCTTATTTAATTCATATTTATTTATTTGAGTTTCTTTTTATTCAACACTAACATTTTATTTATTTCTCTTTATTTTTCAGAATAGCTGCAAACTCAAATTGTTTTCAACTCTAATGCTGTCTCTTTATCAGGTCTTACCTGCTTAGATAAAGATTAAATAAATTAAATTAAATCATTCACATGAAAATAAAATAGATTTTAATGCTTGTTAGATTTTTGGTTACAATCTTTTTTTTTTTTGCAGAAGTAGGGGGAAACGCTCCACAGGAACCACCCAGTGGTTCTTACAGCTGATATTTCGTGACAGCTTCAACTTTACATCATTTTTTTCTTTTTTCTTCTCTGGTAAGGCTATTGGTGCAGATGCAGAGACAGTTGTCGACGCCCCCTCTCTGTCTGCATAAGGTCTGGATGCAAATGTGTGAAAAGCCCAGTGACCTGAGATCTCTGCAGGGAGGAGGCTGAGGTGATGTCTGATCTGACCTGAGTCATGATGGACTGCTGTCCTCTGAAGTCGCTGCCGCTGCTCCTGCTGCTCCTCAAGTCCACCAGCATCACATGGCTGCAAGGAGATCCAGCTAAAGGTTGATTTTTCACTCTGTTTATTAACAACATGATGAACAACGTTTCCATGTGCTGATTGGAAAAAAAACAGGCAACACCAAAATGTGAATCTCTATTGGGGGGAAAAATTGATGCCAAAAGAGAAAAAAATGTTTTGATGTTAATGGAAAAAAAAAAAAATCTACAATGAGATTTCACATTTTATTGAAAATAAATTAACAGTTTTTGCTGTCGTCCTAAATGTGATTTATTAAGCATTCATATAAAGAAAAATTAAAATAAAACAACTTGTGTAAGTTGACCTGCTGCCTTAGAGCTTGTTAATTCCGCTTGCTGTTCACTTCCACCTATTCCATATTTAATGCTGAACTGTGAGAAAAACGGTTCCTTCTCACTTGGCTTTTTACACGATATATAAAAAAGCCTTAATCTATTTCAGCCTCCAAAAATACCTTCAGCTCTAAATAGCAAACACATGTAAGGTACAGGCAAGTGAAAGTATGTAGGTCACAGCCTGCTTTAAAATATTTTACTGTACGTATGCTTAAGGATTTGTTCAGCATTTTATGTCAGAAATTCAAATAAACTAAGGCGAAAAAAGAGACTGGATGAGGTTTTTTACATCTCTGTTAGTTTTGTCCACTATTTTTAACCGTAAAGCAACTGGGTGATCTGCTTATCGTACAGTATGTGTTATATTTTCATCTTTCATATTTTGCATTTAGCAGGCTAATCAGGACAAACCATTCAGTAAAACTGCTAAATTCTGCTTTTTGTTTAAAAAAAGGATTGGAATGCTTTATACATAGAGAAATCAATTACTTGTCAATAATTCACCATACTTTAGAGCAAACATCTATTTTCCGCTTCCGGGTCCAAAAAAAAAAAAAAAAAAACTCATATTAAAGGAAACCTAAAATGTTACATTCTTTGTCAGAACGTTGCCAATTTACCCCCTTACCCAAATTATAGGTTGTTCCACCATCAAATTGGTGCTAAACCTTAGACATCCCTGTGGAGGAATACTGACCTAGTCTTTTTGCATAATTATTTTTAATTCAAACCCAATAAGTATAAACGTGTCATGGGCCTTCTTTTTGTTTAGCAGAGCAACCCTCTACTCCTTTTTTTTTTAAATCATGAACTTTTACCTTAACTCAAGCAGATTAACCCCTTAGACCTTTACATGTTTGCTTTTTTGATGATCTCAAATGAGTGACAAAAAAAGAAAAGGGGGGCAAATTCTTTTTTTCTTACAGGCAAAGACCACCAGGGCCGGCCTGTCTTTTTGTGCTGATTGATTGATAAGGAAGCTTCTACTAGCTGTAGATTAATTAGCAATAAGTTTTAACTGGGTAAAAAATAACTCCCTAAGGTTTGTTTTAACTACATGTAACAAAACAATCACCTAAATTGAGAAACAGGTTTAAAAACAGAAATATGTTTGTTATGAAAACAAGTCTTCATCTGCAAACCCTTAAACTTTAGGATGCATTCCCATGCAACGGAGTATTGCTTTCTAAAATTATATATTTAATCTTTTAAAAAATTCATATGAGTAACAAATTGGTTTTAGTATTTATTTCTAGTTAAGAGTGCATTAAATGGGATGTTTCATGTTATACAAATATAATACAAGATTAACAGTTTTTCTAACTTTACAAATTTAAGTTTATGAATTCATTGCTTCAGAATTTATTTACTTCTTTATCTATTTAAATATGTAGTTTTGTCAGTCTTCTTTTGTCTTCTATGCATTTGTTTATAAAAGCTCAGCAAGACTAAGTTATTTGTAGCTATATGAAGAGTGTTAGGTAAAAATAAATGACTTAGTTTATAAAAGCTCAATATAATTTTTTAAATAGCAGGATCACAGATTATTGCAACACCTGCTATAATAATGTGTTTTAGTAAACATCCAACACTAGAAACATAAGAGTGAGGCCGCTGAAGACTTATTTTACTTTATTTTGTCATGAATTTCTATACACAGACATTTTTGTAAAGCTTTCAGACAGTAAATAAACATTTCTATTCCATAAAGTGCAGCAGTGATCAAATGTAAACAGTGTGGGAGAAAAAAAAAAGGTTGCTGTGTATCTTAAAGTGACATTCTGCTCCACCTTAAGTGTACTATGGAGCTTAATCACAGATCCTTCCTCCCAGCAGGTGTTAGAATTTATAACCATCACTGCTTCCAACTAACTCAATCCCTGCTTTGTAGTTTTTTAGCTATTTTAAATACTCAATATCGGGTATGCATAAATAATCATAAAGGTTTGCGCATTTTTTAAAGTATTTATCTTTCAATGTTCTAAACTAGCTCCTGCTATACTGTGTGCCAAAACTTTCCCATTCTGAGACAATAAATTATGTGTTTATATGGATATATATTATATTTTGTTTATATTTTTTGTTGAAAATCTTAACGTACAGAATTTTGGGTTGTTTATTTTCTAAATAACTTTTGGGAAATCAAGTATTTTTGTTGCTTTTGGGTTTAATGTGCTACTTTAAAATCCTGTCACCCCTTTGAAAATGTTCTTTAGGAGCTCCTATTCAAAACCAGACAACCAAACAAGCGGAGCCATCATTGCACAGCAGCATCGTAATGTGGTTGACAAGGATTAACATCACTTTCTCTTTTTCAGTGGAGGAGTATACATGCATCAACGATTATCTGTTCACTATCAACTGTTCTGTGAGCATTAAACATCCAGTCAACACTTTGGTTGGTAATCAATCCTTCTGGCTCACAATCACGGAACTCTCTGATGGGTGAGACAGTGATAAAGACCTTATATCTGATCAGCCTTAAACATGACGGACATGTTTTGTTTCAGCTGTTTTTTTCTCGACAGAGCGAGGCAAAGGTGTCAGCTGACAAACACCACGGCCGGTTTCTTCTGTTCCGTTAGTAAAGCCGATAAAAGCAACCCCTTGGATATATTTTCAGACATGCATGTATATAACATATCTTTTTGTCAAAGACAAGATCATGGCCCTGAAGTCTGTCAATTACTGGAGGAAGACTACCAACCTATGGATCACAGTGAGTAACACCATTTCCCTGTTTTTCCACAATTTATAATGTATTTTATTGGGTCTCTATGGGACAGACCAACACAAAGTATCACACCATGAAAGCTGCTTGCAGGTAAAAATCTGAAAAGTGCGGCATTCAACCCCTTGGATCTAATATCTGGTAAAAGCATTTTTTGGCTGCAGGCAGTTTCACTCCACTAGCCTTAAAAGGTATAGTGGAAGATTTTTGCGAATTTTTGAAAAGACCCGCCCTCCCCACTTAAAGAAAAAATGCACATGCACAACCCTGTACCCGCTCCCGAGGGGGAACGCATATTAAATGTGCAATTTCTCCTTGTGCACGCTCTGTTTAAAAGCTGCTGTTTGCATTGCATATGCAAGCTTACTATCCAAAAGAAGATTTAGAATTTTTCCGCTATGTAAGACTCACCACCGGTAAGTGAAAATGGGGACGAGCACATAGGACGGCCTTACGTAAACGTATCACCAGAATGATTGACAATTAGGAGGAACACTGATTTTGATGATCCACCCAAAAAAGAACCTCCTCCACACCTTAGGAGGGAATTTCACTCTTTAAAACGACAAAACTTGGTGTTTATATGAATATTGAAGTGTGTGCAGGCATCTCAACTAATTTAAATACATCGTGGATCTAGATCAGGGATGGGTAATTCCAGTTCCTGGGGGAACTTCATTCAGGTGTGTTGAAGAAAAGGCACTCCTAAAAGTTGCAGGATACCGGCCCTGAGGAACTGGAATTGCCCACCCCTGATCTAGATGAACCTTCAGGAAGTATTTTCCCATTCCCATACATCATTTAGATTGTCTGGATGACTTATATCAAAATCTGTGTCCCTGAGAGTTTCTACGGCTTTTGTGGAATAAACAAAAGCATCAGTCTATCATCATATGATCAATGAAAGCAAAACAGATTCCTTTATAATAAGGTTTGCATAAATAGTAACACATTCTCCACAATCTATGTGCCTATTTGAATGTGGCTCTCCTCAAACACCTACACACTTGCATTTTTACCCATTCCTCTCTAGATGTAAATCTTACCACAGAGACTCATTTCGATTTAGAACGTTACTTTGATTAGGCCAACATCCTTGATCTAAACCTTTCCTTGTATATCTGGCTCCATCCATCCTCAGGTTCTCTGACTTAGCTGTAAAAAATCAATCTCCATATCATGATGCTGCCACTACATTACATTTTGATAGGCTTAATTTTTGTTGTTTTTTTGCACCAAAAAATGTTTGGCATATTACAGAAACAGTTTGGTATTTGGTATAGACACTGAACTAATGTTTTAATCTCTCATCAGTTAAACCAAATGCCCCATGCTGCCTCACGGTTAGCCACAACTCAAGCCGACACATTTTCACCTGGAAAAGCACCTATGAGAAATACAGCTCTGACACAGTCCTGCCAGAGGACCTGACCTACCAGCTGCTGCTCTACAGAACAGGAGACAAACACGGGGTGAGTGTCTTCATCATCACCTAACAGGCAGAGAACATAGAGGGAAATACAAAGTGTGTTTCTGTTTCTAGTTAGTGATAAAATAAAATTTGATTGTGGAGATATAATGAATAATATCATTAGCTGACAAGGATGTTATGGTTCACCTGGACTACAGCTCCATAACATTGGCCGGTTAGACCTGAACCTTAAGGTTGGGGCCTTTCCTACACCTTTAACATTAGGGTCCGGTTCTTCAGGACCAGGTTTTTATGTTTGCGTTTGTGTCGTGTTGGTTTTCCTCCTTCATTTATAATTCACCAGCAGATATGCAGCCTGACAATTTCTATAGGGATGGCCAGGCAGGGGCCAATATGCACTAAGGTGTGTCGAAAATGGATAGAGAACATAATCAGTTCTGGCTCAATCAACACTGTAACAGCAGGAAAATGAATGAGCACAACATCTGTATTTTATAAATAAATAAATAAAAAAAGACAGGTTTTTTTTTCTAAACCCTTCCTAATTGATAATCACATATTTACACATCATGTTGTCTATGTCAAAGGTATGGTGAACAGATTCAAATTCCAAGGGGATCATCTTATCTAAAGGTTTTTCAACATCCATCTATCTATCTATCTATCTATCTATCTATCTATCTATCTATCTATCTATCTATCTATCTATCTATCTATCTATCTATCCATCCATCCATCCATCCAAATTCCACCCATCTAAGAGTATCACTGCTGCCACCCTCTGCTTTAGAGAGGAACTGCTAGTTCCAGAAATCACTTTTTGGGGCCTATTGGGGCCCATTGATTGAGGACATACTGGTCAGTAGCTCTGCCCACATTCACCAGTACCATTAACAGTAAAACAGCCTTAAAGCATGACGCTGCCACCACCATGTTTGAGAGTCTGTCCATTGTTGTTGTTTTTAAAGTCTCGTGCTGCCTCCTCCAAAGACTTTTTGTCATAAATCTGACCAAGCAGCTCCATCTTGGTGTGATCTGACCATTAATGCCCCAAGAAGGAATCTATTGACCATAAGTGGTAATTTTAGTCAACCCCACTGTGCTTTAAAGGTTGATTGGATCCTTTTTGATTTTTTTTTTAGAACTGGAGTCATGAAATTAGCACACAGAGCATAACACATTGCTCTGTGGAAGATCAGAATTTTGAGCCAGACACAGAGTATGCTGCAATCGTGCGTTCAGGCCCAGATATGGATTACTTTGAAGGCCAATGGAGCGAGTGGTCCTCGAAGGTTCTCTGGAGGACAGTTAAAGGTGAGAGATTAAAACATTGTATTGCTTTACCAAGTTATGCAGATTCTAGAGTTGAAAATGTCTCCCGCTGCTTGTTTTTGTTGGTGCAGCCGCTCCACTAAATGGATTCACCTTCAATCTGCCCTTGATGTTCATCATTATCTCTGCTGTGGTTTTAATTCTGATGGTGGGCTACGGTTCTGCCAGAAAGTAAGGCTACTCTGCTTTTAACACTGCAAAAAATGTTAATCTTAATAAGTCAATTTTTTTTAAAATAAGTTTATTTTTTCCTGAATTGAGGAGGTACGTGAGACACTTTGCCAATGGAACAAGACAATTTACATTTAAAATGAGAAAAAAAAACTATTGCAATGTCTTATTTCAAGTGAGTTTTATCTAATTATCTTATTTTAAGAATAAAAATACTCATTCCATTGGCAAATCCTCTTACTTACCTACTCAAATTAAGAGTAAAAACACTAAATTTAAGAAATCTTTACCTATTTCTAGATTGTTTTTGCATTGAAATTACTTTACAAAGAAAAATATTTATCTAGCTTATAAAAAATGTTTTTCTGAAAAATGTATTTTGACACAGGTGGAGGCGTGGTACTTTCATCCCAACACCTGCTCCTTATTTCCAATCTTTGTATAAAGACTGCCAGGGGGATTTTAAGGTAAGTTCAGCTTTTCATTGAAACTTCCTGCAATGAGAAGAAGAAAATAAATTAAAAAAACCTCCAACCCATTTCTGTCATGGCAGAGTTGGGTCGTTACACAAGAAAACACAGCAGACATACTGAAAGCAGAAGAAGCCCTCCAAATCGACACCCTGATAGAGTACGTGGAGGGGCAGGAGTATCCAGCCACGTTCCCCCTGCAGCTCGTGGAGAACAGAGCTTACGGCAACATCCAATCATCCCCTGTGGACAGCGACCTTCTCAGCATGCAGTACTCAGACGGCAGCACCATTGCCCAGAGGAGGTCAATAAGGAGTCTTCCTGGGTGCTGCCAGTCATGCAGTCCTCTTCAGGACTCTGGCTGCTGGCTCTGCAGTGACACATCCCTGGAGAAGGAGCCTTCCTGGTACTGCAACGAGTACTGCACCCTGGGTTTCCTCCAGGAGGCCGGCTGTGTCACAGCAGGACACCATGGAGGGCTGAAAACCAACCCCAACATCTCAGAAATGATTGATTCAGACGCTGTAATAGAAGCATAAAGCTCATATTTTTATATAAAGTTGGTGGAAGTTAATATGGAGCGCTTCCTCTAACTTTGTCAGGTTATACGATACACATTCAGCCCACATGAGGCAATACTTCTTAAAGCCGTCTTCCCTGAGGTTGCATTTGGAGGCCTTTGTTGATGAATGCTCTCCTTGACCAGCCTGTAACCTTTGATGAACATATTTTGGTAGTCCATCCTCTTTATGCTGTACAGAACATTTAGAGAAAAGCTGGCTTTAAATACCCATTTCAAAAACTTTCTCCTTGGCCTGTCTGCTGCCCTCCTTGGTCTTTATAATTCTGGTTGTTTTCCAAATAAACAGCTGTACTATATATCTGGCTGATATTAGAGATGTTTTCCTGCATCCGCATTGTCAGTATGGTTCGTATATTCATCGATTTGTTAGTGCTTTCAGAAGCTTGACATCTCATGAAGCTGTTCCATTTGGCATCCATTGTGCCTTTCTTTGAGAAGTGTAACATTTGTGTAATTTTACGATGTAAATATTGTACTAACATCTGCAGCATATTGAGGATCAGTTAAGATGGACATCAACATAATTGGTTTTGGCCTATAAAAGAAAACTTGTACTAATCAAAGGTCTGAGGGAGCTTCACTTATACATGGATGAGGGTGATTCGATTAAAGGGGAACTCATTTTGTTTCATTTACAAAAACGTTCATCTTCAAATAAATACACTAACTTTTTTTGCATACCAAAATCTTAAAAAAAAATTTCAAAACGTTCATTTATTCTGTAAATACTGTTTAGTTATGTTGAAGCACACGTGGCATTTTTTCTGAGCATTGCTCACAGCCCCCAAAATATTATGAAACTGATCGCTTGAATAAACAAGGATGGCAACCTTTTGTAGAAAGTTTTATTAAGCCAACACATACATGAACAAAGCACCATATATCCTTAAAGTACAGAAGTAAGCCTACCTGCCTCAGTTACTGTGGCCATTTTTATTTATCCCATAGCAAACACTCTGAATAACAAAAAGACAGCCAAGGCAGCAGATCCTATCATATATTACAGCATGCTGAATAGAAAAACCTGGGAAAGAAAAATTAGACTGGACCATCTAGAGACACTATTGGGATACAACAGTATAAAAGTGCCATTCATTATACAGCAGTTCAAATACTGACAATGAAATAAGCCATTTTTTTTTTACATTACATTTATGGAAAACAGGGAAAAGGGAGGGAAACGAAAAAGAGACCCTGTGAAAGAGCAAAATAAAACAAAGACATTTTACTTCCATGAACAAATCGATGACAAACAGCTCGCATGGAGATGATGGAAAAACTGAAGCTGTGTCCCTTGCACCTCATAAGACAATGTTTAAAAAGAAACAACCGGGGTGCCGAAGCACCTGTCCCCTCCCAGCTTCATGCGCCAACCGGCAATTAAGATCAAAAAGGATAGGTGAAGGGAGTACGGATGGCACAGAATGTGTGGAGTTTAAATAGAAGTCTTTAAGCGAGTCCCGATGTGAGAGGAGCACATTCATTGAGAGGCCGAGCGGGGAGGTGATTCTTGTTAAACCCATTCCTTCAGCCGCAGGGGGAGGGGCTTCGCCTTTTACGACGGGGAGTATTTTTTGGCCTGTGCTCGAACTCTTTTCTCATATTCTACTCTGTTTTGGCTAAAAAAAAAAAAAAAAAAAAAAAATAATGTTATTACATGGAAATACAAGCAAATTATATTATTAATAAGTATTTCTCGAGATCAGGGGGTCTTAAACGCTTTCCAGTCCAAGGAGCCCCAAACTAGTGGCGAGATAGAGCGGGGACCCCCTAATTATACATATTGTGTTATATCAAACTGGTCCTATAGTCACTTTACTAGATATGGAGTAATGAAACAAAAGTAATTTCACTCGCTCCTGTGTGTCGCTGAATGTGTGCATTAATGACTGAAAGACACCTTCCGCCTCCATTTATCTGTTTACTACAGTGTGTTGAATTTATGTTAATGTGTATTTAAAGACATTTCAATTAGAAAAAAAAATAAAATAAAATAACAGGGAAAATATATATATAAAAAAAAAGTAATCAAAAACTTTTGCGACCCCCATGCAACACCTCTGTGGGCCCCCTAGGGGTTGCGGACCCCCTGTTGAAGACCTCTAGATGTCTGAAGTCATGTACAGGGTTTATACAGGGATGAATAACTCAAATTAAATGCTTTTTAATGCTCTTAGAAAAATGTTTAATGCCACCAACAGGTATCCGTGAACAGGCTGCAGCCATGTCCCAAATTCCTCGTTTTTCCAGACACTGTTGAAATTTGCTTTTTTCCCGCCCATTCTCTAGCTTTTTCTCCGACTCAAGCTTCTTTCCTGAACATACAGCTTTGCGATCAACCGGAAGCAGTTCCATGCAAATATATTGTGACATAATATGTCTGACAAAATAGTTTTATAAAAAATTTTTTAATAAAGCATTTTAAATGCCACAATAAACACATTTAATGAATTTTAATGCCAATTAAGGCCTTAATTTAAAAAACAATAATTTAATGACCCGTGGAAACCCCGATGTAGAAAATTAGAAGCCTTGAGACATGTAGACAACACCAGATCTGTATTTACAGTCAGCCAGGAAAAACGAGGATCAAAAGTATTAAACATGACAGTCAGTCCAACATGGCGACCTTAAGGTAACTTTTAGCACATACTGAACTTTTGGACCGAATCAGTTACATAAACATCAATTTCCAAGTCGCTGCATGATTTTGATTTTGTTTACCGATTGCTGTAAAGTATTAGGTCTTGTGATACAGGTGCATCTCAATTAAAACGTTGGTGAAAAAGTGAAACTGCTTCAAACGCACTGGTAAATTTAAAATGCCTATTTCTGTTGATAATTCTGGCCTCGAGGTTAAAAAAAGAACAAAAAAAAAGAACAAAAAAAAAGCAAACTTTGGTTTGTCAAGAGTCATTTTTATCAGATGCAGGTTTAACAGAACCACAGCGAAGACTGCAGACTTCACAGCCGAAACATTCGGGTTAGTCACATCAAGTCAAAGCCTGTTCATATACTGGTGAATCCAAGCACATAACTGGAAAGTTTAGTGGAAGGAAAAAGTCTGGAATGATCAGACACGTCATCCCTACCCTCTACAGAACAGGAACACATTCTCCAGTTGGCCCATTTTAATATAATGACCTATTGAAATCTTTTTAACTGTAATATTCTAAATTTAAATAGGAAGCAATAATAATCATATCAATGTAGATTTTTACTTTTAGATTCAAGTTACTGACACAGTTCTACTTTTCAATAACTCATATTGAAATTTAGTAATGATAATTTATGATGTTTGTGTCAGTTTTATAATGTACTACATACAGGTGCTGGTCATAAAATTAGAATATCATGAAAAAGTAGATTGATTTCAGTAATTCCATTTAAAAAGTGAAACTTGTATATTATATTCATACATTACATACAAACTCATATATTTCAGATGTTTATTTTGTTTAATTTTGATGATTACAAATGACAACAAATGAAAATCTCAAATTCATCATATCAGAAAATTAGAATATTGTGAAAAGGTTCAAAATTGATGGCCCCTGGTGCCACACTCTAATCAGCTAATTAACTCAAACCACCTGCAAAAGGCTTTAAATGGTCTTTCAGTCTAGTTCTATAGGCTACACAATCATGGGGAAGACTGCTGACTTGACAGTTGTCCAAAAGACGACCATCGACACCTTGCACAAGGAGGGCAAGACACAAAAGGTCATCGCTAAACAGGCTGGCTGTTCACAGAGCTCAGTGTCCAAGCACATTAATAGAGAGGCGAAGGGAAGGAAAAGATGTGGTCGAAAAAAGTGTACAAGCAAGAGAGATAACCGCACCCTGGAGAGGATTGTGAAACAAAACCCATTCAAAAATGTGGGGGAGATTCACAAAGAGTGGACTGCAGCTGGAGTGAGTGCTTCAAGAACCACCACACACAGACGTATGAAAGACATGGGTTTCTGCTGTCGCATTCCTTGTGTCAAGCCACTCTTGAACCACAGACAGCGTCAGAAGCGTCTTGCCTGGGCTAAAGAGAAACAGGACTGGACTGCTGGTGAGTGGTCCAAAGTCATGTTCTCTGATGAAAGTAAATTTTGCATTTCCTTTGGAAATCAAGGTCCCAGAGTCTGGAGGAAAAGAAGAGAGGCACTTCATCCACGTTGCTTGAAGTCCAGTGTAAAGTTTCCACAGTCAGTGATGGTTTGGGGTGCCATGTCATCTGCTGGTGTTGGTCCATTGTGTTTTCTGAGGTCCAGGGTCAACGCAGCCACATACCAGGAAGTTTTAGAGCACTTCATGCTTCCTGCAGCTGACCAACTTTTTGGAGATGCAGATTTCATTTTCCAACAGGACTTGGCACCTGCACACAGTGCCAAAGCTACCAGTACCTGGTTGAAGGACCATGGTATCCCTGTTCTTAATTGGCCAGCAAACTCTCCTGACCTTAACCCCATAGAAAATCTATGGGGTATTGTGAAGAAGAAGATGCAATACACCAGACCCAACAATTCAGAAGAGGTAAAAGCCACTATTAGAGCAACCTGGGCTATCATAACACCTGAGCAGTGCCACAGACTGATCGACTCCATGCCACGCCGCATTGCTGCAGTAATACAGGCCAAAGGAGGCCCAACTAAATACTGAGTGCTGTACATGCTCATACTTTTCATGTTCATACTTTTCAGTTGGCCAACATTTCTATAAATCCTTTGTTTTTATTGGTCTTCAGTAATATTCTAATTTTCTGATATGATGAATTTGAGATTTTCATTTGTTGTCATTTGTAATCATCAAAATTAAACAAAATAAACATCTGAAATATATGAGTTTGTATGTAATGTATGAATATAATATACAAGTTTCACTTTTTAAATGGAATTACTGAAATCAATCTACTTTTTCATGATATTCTAATTTTATGACCAGCACCTGTAAATGAATTCATATAAAATATTTGTGTCTTTAGCTTTGAGCTCAGAGCAAAACCTTTATAAGTCAGTCAAACAGAAAAAAAAAACATTTCTTAAATCAAACAGCAAGATTTAAATAACCAAGCTGCTCCTGGCTCTGAAACACAGTTAGCTTATTTGAGGAATTCATTACCTTGTAAAGCATCATACCGCATTAAGCAACAAGTGGCGGCATTTTTTAAAGGGAAAAAAAAGTTGCATATCGCATTCAGTGTTATTTAGATGATCAACTGTGCTAAAAGTGTTTGCATTAATGGGAAGTCTTCCTCCTGAATATGTTTTCTAGGTAATTTTAGATCTGTAATAAAACCTTTGAGTTAATTTCCAATCTTTGGGCCCAAAGCTACTTTACAATACAAAGATGTCAGGAAGCTTTCCTGACAGGAGACGCAGTCCTAAACACCCAGGTGCAGCAAGATGAAAGTCAAGCAATAAAGATTAAGTCTAACTTCTAATTGCGGTTTTGATAAAGCTTTTCAGAAATCAGGTCACAGCTCAAATAGCCGATTCAAAACACTGGTATGAAAAGTGTTTTACAGCAGATCACAGAGCAGCAGTTATTAGACAGGTTCTAGTTAAAACAGTGGCAGCTGGCTAACAGAGGGTGCCGCCCCATCCACCCACTGATCTTGATTAAGACAAATTAAATTATAAAATTAAAATATATCAATATATTTT